AAACGTCGTGAAATTAAATAAACGATTTTATCTGCTAGTTTGGTCAATTACTTCCATAATTTATAATGTTTATATTATTTAACTTGTAAAATCAGGAAAAATTTATGTATATTGCATCGCATGATATCGACGCAATATCGTTTAAATTTTTCAAGCAAAATAAAATAGAATTTAAAAAATTAATATTTTTTGATATATTTTAGAAGAAAATTCAACTCAAAGTTTTCTTATTTTTTATTTCATTATTCAATACGACATTATTAATAAGAGACTACGATTTTTTTTTAAATTCCACAAGTATTAAGTTAATAATTTCGCATATTTTTGTATTCTATCAATTAAGCAATAATTAATTATTCATATATAATCGTTATAATTTTATAGTAGAATCATTTATCAATTCTCACTCCGTCACAGCCTATTGTAGCAATTTTGTAACTGCATTTTCTATATGAGAAAAGATTTGTAATACGTGTGATTTCTTCTTTTGCAATTATTGGTGGTAACAGAAAGTATACATAGCTGCCTTTAAAACCTGTAAGCTTTCCTGCCAAATTGAATCCATTTCCAAGACAGGTAATAATATCAAATTCAAAATACGACAAATCATATCTGCTTAACATTTGTTGATTTCTCTTAATGTCTCTCTGTAAAACGAAAAATGTTAATTATAATATTGTACCTACAGTTTCTGGCAAAACATTGTAATAAAGGATCTTTCAGAACGCCAAAACTAAGAAATATAGCATAAAATAAAATGATTTTGTTGTTAAATAAAAAGAAAAAAAAACAAAAATACTTGTAAGTTTTTGTAAGCATCGAGATCTTCTATATTATTATTAATATAATTTAGGTCATCGAATATACTTATTGCTATTTCGTCCAATTCATTCAAAATAATATTGAAATTGCTAGAACGTGAAGACAAAAGTTCTACTTGTATATCTCTTTCTATTTTTGTTAGGCGAAGATGTGTCCCGATCAATAAAATCTTTATTCCTGTTTTAACATCTATAGGCTTTATAGCATAAACATTAGAAAAAATATGTTTGCATTTATTTATACGGCCATATACGCAAACTTTGGCATCGATTGTTGCAAATGCATCCCTTTGCAAAATGTTCTCACAAGATCTAGTGTATTCTTCAATCTCCTGTAAGTCTTGTTCATTAAATCTAATATGAACACCACTCTGTAGACGCTTCCAATGAAGAAAACACGCTGTTAGACAAACCACGAATGATGTCGAACCGCCAAGACCATTTTCAAAAGGTATTTCAGTGAACACGCGTAAACGAAAAGGTTTCATGCCGTGCTCGCTATTGTAAACGATGGTATAAAGCAAGTAAAAGAACATTTGTAAGCTTAATTTCTCTTCATTTTTTTTCCACATACCATTGATAAAGTTATTGACAAATCTAGGCATATTTAGCACATTAAGTTGAGAAAATAAGCATTGAACTTTTTCTAAAGATAAATCCTGCTGTACACCACGAAACTCTATTCTAATGCTTCTTGGCTCATCAAGTAGTTCGCAGAATTCTAGTTTGGTGCGAAGATCTAAGCCGGCCACAACAAAATGTTTTTCATACGTCACCGTGTGCTCTCCTGATAAGATGATTCTGCCTGGTGCGGAAATTTTGAAGTTAATCATCTTTTTATTTATCTTTATAAAAATATCTTCTCTTGACACAACGAATGCAACGTTGAATGGCAGAGAGAATGGCTGATAATTAGATTTGCGTAGGATTCACCAATATATTGATTGGAATTAATATATGAAAAATATATTCTCATAAGGTGAGAAATTTCGAGATTATATTTGTCGTTTCTTCTCGATCTGTAAGTGTAAGAAATGCGTATCGTGTCAGTCATATGTGACAGAAATATCTCATTGGTTATACATAAAAATATGGAAGGTATAATCAAAGGATATGTTTGCAAAGTACTTAAATTAATATACTTACAGTTTATTTGATTCTTGTTTTTATTTGGCAGATAAATTAATGTCTATTTTTCTCCGAGAACCGCACATATGTCTTCTTAATTATTTAATCTTTAAAACGTCAAAGCAAAAAAGAAAAGCTACTGATTATATGAATTTGAAACGTTCGTTATCGCCCTCCAGACAGTGGTTATATTTTCTGTACACTTCCTTGTCTCAATTTAGACTAATTTCACTTCAAAACATATAAAAATGTTATTTAAAGTCATATCTTTATATACAAACAACAATATATTAGACGTTTTCAATGTTTTAATCAGGAGTCGTTAGAACATATATCGATACTTTTTTGTTGTTTCCGAATAATATTTATCGCAACTTTAAATACATGACTGTATGTGTGTACCGTCAAAAAAACAAATATATATATAGATGTAATATTTAATTTAAAGATATAAAAATATGTAATACTTTGATACAATTTATTGTATAAATCATATATAAGGTACATATATATGATATATATCACAAACTCATCAGTACTAAGGCAAAATGATTTTATCTTTTTCTCTTAATTATTATTAGATAAATCTTTGGTATATTAAACAGATATAAAAAAGAAATAGAAATAAATATTTTCTTCTTTTCTTAAGACAATTACTAACTATTGTATATATGATATATTATTGTATAATAATTGTCGTAATTAATTTAAATCGTTGTAATATAGTTATACAGACATATTTAACAGAAGAAGAAATTTTGCTAATATCTATTTAAATAATAACAAAATTTGTATATTATTTCGATAAATGCTATATTATCTATTTATAATTTCCATTTTTATATTCAATTTATTTTTTACGTTCTGGAATAATTATATATATTTCTGTATATTTATCGTTATCTATATATTTACATATATTTCTTTTTTTTCTATAATATAAGAGTTAATAATTAAAATATGTATTATCCAGGCTTCTGTGTGGAGCCTTGAGAGAAGAGACACAGGTAATATACGGTTATTTTGATAACAACAGGAAAGGATTAGGATTTGATTAAATTTAAGTATTTTTAAAAATATAAATTTGATAAAATATACATAATGAATTATGTTCATCACACATAAGCATCGTTACGCATTATCAGTTTATACGAAACGAAACGAATCGACAAATATTATCTCGGTATTCTTATTTGTGTTACATATAAATAGATTTCTAGAACTTTAACAAATATCTACAAGAGTTGCGACGCTAAACAAATTTTTTGCAATTACTGTTCTAAGAACACGTCGATATTATACAATGCAATAAATTTATTCATAAAGAAGATGTAAAATTCAAACATTTTGCACAATATATGATCTTATGCGGATCATGACAATGTGTAGAAAATATGTGTGGCGGTCAACTCAAACTTTCGACTACGAGTTTAAATGACTGTGAATTACTTGATGAGTTAAAAACATTATTAGGAAAGGCTTCCATAAAACAATATGAAAGAAATTTTATGTTAAAAGTTAAATATACCTGTGGAAGTAATCAATTGATTGTTTACTAATCGTGAGTAAAAAATGGTCACCTAAAATTCTTCGGACTGTTTGTAAGATTTTTCGTTTAAGAGTTCAACTTTTTTTTTAAACGACTTTAACTTTTTATACAAATCGATTTCTCGTAATATTCGATATTGAAATTTTCGAGATATTTTATATTTGAATTTGACATAATTTTACATAATACAATATTATATAAAATATTTTATAAAATACTAACTTTTCGACGACTCTACAACATACTTTTATACATAAAATAATAAGAGGAATCAATTGATGTGAAGAAAATGTATAATTGTTTTTAAAAAATAATAATTTGCAACTAGCAACTCTACATATAATTTTTTTCTGTGATTTCAATATATATTCTGTTAATTAAGAATAGAATGAATCATTCTGCATAATAAACCATTATATATATTTTGTTGCTTAAAGATTTTACGGTCTCATAATTACGTCAAACTATGAAATCAAAAATGAATAAAATTATTGAATTTTTTTTGTAAAATATATCAAAAAATATTAATATTTTTTTATATTCTATCCTACTTTAAGAATATGAGCGATGTTGCGCTGCAATAAATATATATATATACAAAATACTTTTTCAATTTGTAAATTAATTAATATAGGATGCTTTATGATTGAAATATAATGCAATTGAGACCATAGATGAAGAAAGGCACATAGGCTTATGTGTGCCTCTTTTCCATAAATCATCTAACTTCTTCCAGATATGTTTTATATATGCATACAAAAGACATATTATTTCTCTAATGTAACAATTTTATATAATAAATAATATAATAATATATATATATATATATATATATATATATATATGTATGTATATATACTTTATATGTATTATACTTTAATGACACCATTTATACATATATTTTATATATAAATAAAATTGCGAAATTAAACATATGATTTAAAACGACAATAAGAGAACTGATTTATGATATTAAAAATAATATATTATTATTAAATTGAATTATGTTTAAGCACGCACACATAAGTTTTTCTTCTTATGAATACTGAAAAAATTTGACATTGTATTTTATATTTCAATCAAGACTTCGAGATGATATATATGTATTCCAAGACGAAATCAGTCAGTAAGTAAAACACAAAAGTGTACAGGACATATAAAACTGTTTGTGTGCGACGAACGTTTCAAATTCTTATTATTAGGCCTTCCTTTATTGTGTCTACGTTACAAAGATTTAATAGAGTTAAAGTGTATAGAGTCATATATGTGGTGCTTTAAAAGAAACAGTTGAGACAAGTTAACTTATAATTGAAAATAAACTCATATAACAAAAACTAAAGACAATATGTAAGTATATGAATTTAAATACTTATTTTGTATACATTTATCCATTTGATAACGTATGAGACGAGATATTTTTGTCACATATAATATATAAATGACACATTACGCATTTTTAACATTTACAGGACGAGAAGAAACGATAAATATAATCTTTAAATGTTCCCTTACTTTACAAGAATATATTTTTCATATATTGATTCTAATAACAGTGTTTGTAAGAGATACGCAAATTTAATTATCAATTCTGTATTATTGAACGCTACTTCAGTTCTAAGAAGAAAGGATATTTTATTGATAAAAGGATGATAAATTTTAAAATTTCCGCACCGGGCAGAATCGTCTTATCCGGAGAGCATTCGGCGACGTATGGAAGATATTTTGTTATGGCCGGTTTAGATCATCGTACCAATCTCGAATTCTGTGAACTACCTGTGGCAGAAAGAATTATTAAGCTAGAATTCCCTCGTGTCAATCTACAATGCGATATATCTTTAGTAACAGTTGAACATTATTTTTTTCATAGAAATGTTTCGAATATTCAGTCAAATCCAGTCGAGTTTCTTAAATTCGTGAAATTCTTTATAGACTGGGCTCGTATGTGGAAGACATGCGAGCAGCGATTTAGCTTACAAATATTTTTCTACCTGCTTTGTTTGATGACCAACAATCTCGAGAGAAGACCTTTTCACGTGTGCGTAACCACTGAAATTCCTTTTGGATCTGGTCTTGGAAGTTCGACATCGTTCGCTGTATGTTTGGCAGCGTGTTTTCTTCATTGGGAGCGTCGACAGAAAGGTTATCATATTGCATTTAATAATCGGGAATTAGAAGTAATTGAACGTTACACCAAATCCTGCGAAGAAATTATGCAAGACAATACGTTCACATTGATCGATGCCAAACTTTGCGTACGCGGCGGAATAAAAAAATGTCGACGTACGAGTTATAAAACTTATTTTACGGAGACTATCGATTTCGTATCAGGACTAAGGATTTTATTGATTAATACAAATATTCCCCAAAATAAAGAACAACAAGCACAACAAATGATTGATCTGCGACGTAGAAATCCGATCTATTTCAATTGTTTATTAGATAGATTAGACACAATAGCAACACAAATATGGGATAAGCTTCATTGTATTTGTAATAATTTTATAGATCGCCGATTAATTCAGGATTTTTATCGTCAGTTAGAGGTATTTTTTCGTTTTTATTTAAGAATAATAATATTTTTATTACGCATATTCTTTAGCTTTGCTGCATTGATAAAATTCGTACTCTCCCATACAGCACCGTTAGATTGCAAAAACATTACAACAATCTTTCACCGCAATATTGCAATATTGCAAATTCACTGTAAAATGTTGCTACATCATTGCTGTTGAATTGCAGCAATGTTAAAATGTCCGCTTTTTGGAAGATAATAAAATTATTGATTATCGTTAACATCTTTTATTGTACAATATTGCAAAAAATTATTTTATTACAGTATTATACCCAGCAAATACCAAGTTACAGTTATATAATTGTTAGTTGTAATTTTCCACTCAACAACATAATTGTTATAATACACGTATTATATTTTTGAGTGGAAAATTACAACTAACAATTATATAGCTGTAATTTGGTGTTTGCTGGGTATATGTATATATATTACAATATATAAATTATAGAATTTGGATTACATGCAATATTTCCGAAATATTAATGTCATGTTGCTACAAGTGTGCTGGAATTTTGTGCACCTATATCTCTGCAATGTCTTTATAATGTTGCATTGCAACTTGCAACATTGCAACGTTGCTGCAATATAATTGCAATAATCTGTGCTGTATGGGCTTGTACAAAATTACCTGCTAGAAACTGTACCGTTTTAAAACTAACATTTTTCGTATTTTGCAGACAGACATTATGTGGAATCAGCAATTATTAAAGGATAATGATTTGTCGCTTCCAAAATTCAATGAAGTTTGCTCAATTGCAAATAAATTTGGATTAAAAGGAAAGCTTACAGGTTTTACAGGGGGATACGTATACATTCTTCTATCACCAAAGGTTACAGACGAAACAATCAATAAAATTAAGGCACAATTCTTGAAGCAACGTATCGATTGCATATCTTCCACCTTTGATATCGATGGAGTGAAAATTGATTGAATAATTCTACTCTAAAATTATAGCGACTCCATACAACAAGATTGCAGCAGTATTGTGGCAACATTTCACTGCAATATTACAGCATTGCATAAACATTGTGAAATATTGCAGCAATTTTGCTGCAAAGTTGCAGCAACGATAAAATGTCCGCTTTCAGAAATATATATTTGCAGCAATAATGCAATAAAATATATATGTAATATTACTATTGGATTATTGGAAATGTGCCAAATACATGATCGGACTGAATGTTTTGTACCTAATATTTTTTGCGTGAATTTTATTTTTATAATATTTCTGAAATATTACTGCAACATTGTTTAAACAATATTGCAAATTTATGCCTATATAATAATTCTGCAATATTGCTATGGAATGTACAATATTGCAATGTTGTTGCAATATTGCTGCAAACTTGTGTGCTGTATGGGACGTTATATAAATAATTAAATAATAACAACTAACTAAATATAAAAATAGGGCAAAATTATTTTAATATCTGTATTATTTTAAGAAAAGAAGACGAACAACATTTTTGTTTAATATATATTTTCTATTCTTTAAAGATAGCTTATTGTTTAAAGATAGCTTATTGTTTAAAGATAGGTCTCTTAATGACGTCGTATTGAATTATGAAATAAAAGGTGAGAAATCATTACAAGAATATTGGTAATCTTTTTGTAAAATATATCAAGAAATATTAGCTTTTTTCGTATTCTATCCTATTCTATTTCAATAATGTAATGTATAAAATTGCATCATTACATGCGCTGCAATAGAATAAGCAGAAGACTTTTTTAATTTATAATCTAATTTATAATTGTAATTTTTTATATATAATGCTTCATAATTATATACTGCAATTTGAATGACAAGTAAGTCAGACAGTTTTGAATTATATTTTTTCTGCGATTTTTATGAAAGAAAATTATAAAATGAAATATATAATCAGCGTTGCTCATTAGTAGGGCATTCATCTGTTAACTACGAGGTTCATACTTACATACTATCCGACGCATGTCTTATAGATGTATACTTATATAAAAAATTCAACTGATGTATTTATTTTTTTTTAATAATTTTCCTTTGTTAAACATACAGAAAGAATAGTTAAAAATTTTGAATTTTTTATTAACATAATAACGTTATATATAATTCATGAACGCAAATTATAAAACATGTGTATCTGTAATTTATTATTACATGTTCTACTTTCGAAAGTATAAAGAGATAATTAAATAAGTTACATACATTTATTTTGGAAATATTAAGTAATATTTTTGGTATATATTTTTAATACAATTGAAAAAGAGTGCTATATGCAAAGAATAATTTCTTTCTTTGCATATACTTTTTAATTCAACATATATTTCCACTTTTAATTTTATTATTCAACGTAACTTGAATAAAAAACTAAAACAGATATAAGGAGATTGCTAATAAAAAGATAATAAAATATTTTGTCGATTTAATATATGTATTATATTATTATTTAGAAAGATGACAACAAAGTTTTCCTTTGTGCTATCAATGCCTATATAAAAATAATTATATTACAGCGACGTAAATTAATGATTACAATTATTATATTAGATTTTTATTGTGTTATATTAGACATTGCCTAAAATAATAAGACATGTATGTATTTCTATTCCATTTTCTATATCTTCAGTTTTATATACTAAAGATTTATCTATTTATAAAATAATTAAGAAATAGAAATGATATATTTTTACTTCAGTACTCTCGAACCGAAATTTGTGATCAGGTTAATCATTAAGCCGAAATAAGCTCGCATTGATATGTGTAAAATAAGAAATATTGCGATATATTCATCTTTTATATCAAAATTATTTAATTTATATATAATTATATTAAACAATATAATTTGATATATAAATACTACACATAGTATGGTATATTCCAATTATGTACTGATTGACGGAAAAGTATGTATTTATTGGAATATATATTGTATTTTTATATATATTGCCTAATATTGACATGTAATATTTTGTACATTGTGTATCAGTGCAAATAAAATATTGATAATATTTCTGATTATTAATATATTTTATCATTTTCTAATTTTGTATAAGGTTTCAATTTTCAGTAGTTTAAATATATATTGGTCAGGCATGTGTGTATGGGGCTTTGAAGGAAGAAACAGAGACAATTTATGGCTATTTTCATAATAATATCAAAGAACAAAATATTTATCGAATTTAATTATTTTTATAAATATAAATTCGATAACATTCATTTGACGAATTATTTCTCTCACACATAAATGACGTTACGCATCATCGACTTATACAAAACAAAAAGGATCATCGACGAATATTATCTGCATATTCCTATTTACGTTACACACAAATACATGTTTAGAATTAATTAATAAATATATAATGTAAAATAATGAGATAAATTGTTATTGCAGAGTCCCGTTAAGTAGAGAAACTATAATATAAAGCTGACAATATTAGCTAATATGAAATCTAGTATCATACATGTTTAAATATTTATATAGTCATAATATGTGCTATAAATGTTATGTAATTCAATTCAATTCTTTATTCGTCCCCTAAGGGATTGAAGGCGCTTTTGAAGGAGCGTTCCCCAACCTTACAAACCTCTTACAATCATACTTATAACTACTCTTATCTCTACTCTTACATCTAATTTACAAATAACTTAATTCTACCTTAACCTACTTATCTACTACTTTAGAGAGAGAAAGAGCCGTCCCTACCTATCGCTTCGCTTCGGCTTCCGGTTCCCCATATATTCTCCACCACCTCATTCATACCTCACTCATTCTCCTCCTCATACTTCCTTCCTCCTTTTCCCCTTCCCCCCTTTTTCTTCCTTTCTCCCCTCTTCCCTCTTTTTCTCTATTTCTCATCCATCCTTCCCCTTCTCCTCCTTCCTGCAATATTCCCTTCATTCTTTCCCACCAGTTTCCCTTCTCCCCTTCTCCCCCACATTCTTCTATCACATGCTCCCATGTTTCATCTTCTATCCCGCATAACCTACATCTTCTTTTCTCCTCTTCTTCCCAGTATCTCGCCCCTCTCATCTCATTGTTCATTCTGAACCTTACTATCCTTCTCCATCTACTTTCCCCCCATCCCTCTCTCAGGTATTCCGGTAAACCCTCCTCCTTCCATTCCCCATACCATCTATTATATCTCGACTCTCTTATCCTCTCCCATCTTTCCTCCTTTTGCCTTTCCCTGTCTTTCTGTTCCCATCCCTCATATACTTCCTCTCCCCTTCCCCTTTTTTCCTCCATCTCTTTCCCTTCTATTCCTCTTTTTTCCCAGAATTTCTCCCTCTCTTCCTCCCACATCGTTCTTTCCTTTCCTACTCTTATCCTCTCTTTCATATCCTCAAAACATTTCCTCGCTAAACTTCCTCCCCTTCCTTCCTCTAACTTCCTCTCATACCCTACCGCCCTCCTTCCTGCCCTTATCCTAAATTTGTCTTTTCCTATCTCCTCTCTTACCATATACCCCGGCGTGCACCAGTCTACTCCTAACGTCCACCTAATCCATCGCTCCTGCATTGCCTCCACCTCTCTCCTCTCCTTCCATCCCCATATTTCCGCCCCATATTCCAACACCGTCCCCACCAACCTTTCCATTAGCCATACTCTTTTCATCCAGTCTCCTGCAAACCTTCTCTTTCCCATTCCCCAAACCTGTCTTATCACCGCTCCTGCTTTCCTAACTCTGTTCTTTACCTGCGCCTCCTGCCCCCCGTTCCTCTGTAGCTTATACCCTAAATATGTGAATTCTTTCACTTCCTCTAACCTTTTTCCTTTCCATCTCCACTCCACTCTCTTCATTCTTCCTCCTCCCTTTTTAAACCTCATTACCTTTGTCTTATCCACATTCACCTCTAACCTTTTCTTGTCCATATAACTTTCCATTTTCCCCAACATATGTATCATCCCTTCCTCATCCTCCGCCAACAGTACCATGTCATCTGCGTACGCCAAACAATGCACCTTTTCCCCTCCCAGTTTCACCCCCCCCCAACCTCCTTTTCTTAGCACTTCCTCTATATCCGCTATCAGCAAACTGAATAAGTGCGGACTCATTGGGCAACCTTGCCTCACCCCCCTTGCCGTCCAAAAATTTTCTCCCTCCTCCTTCCCCACTCTTACCTTACTCCTCGTTTCCCTGTATACCTCTTCTATCCTACTCCTTAAACCCTCCCTCACTCCCCTCCTCTTCATTGCCTCCATTAACACCTCCCTATCTACCGAATCAAACGCCGCCTTCAGGTCCATAAATGCCGCGACTACCTTTCCTCCCTTCTTATTTACCCTCTTATTCACCAGATAGTTCAGCACATAGATACTATCCATCACCCCCATTCCCTTCCTAAAACCTGTCTGACTCTCCGGTATCATATTCTTCCCCTCCATTTCTTCCTTTAACCTTTCCGTTAAAATCCCCACGTATATCTTGTATAGCGTTGGCATCAATGTCACTCCTCTATAGTTTTCCACTTTATTCCCCGTTCCCTTTTTCAACAGTGGCACTATTATCCCTTCTTTCCACCTCTCCGGCCATCCTTCTCCTCTCCATACTCTGTTGCACATTTCCCATACCCACTCTTCTACCCTCTCCCCTCCATATTTCCATACCTCACTCGGTATCCCATCCTCCCCCGCTGCTTTTCCTTTCTTCAGTTTTCCCAGCATCCTCTTCACTTCCTCCCTGCTTATCTCCCGCTCCTCATCCCTCTCCCTTTTTCTTTTCCTCCTCTTACCACTTTTACCTCTATCCCTCCCAATAAGTCCATGAAGTATTCCTTCCATTCCTCCGCCTTTATCTCCTCATTCACCCCTTCTCTCTTTTTCCTTTCCCTGTTTATAATCTTCCATACCTCTCCTTCCGTTCTTGCCTCTATCGCCTCCTTGTACCATCTTAGCCTCTCCTCCTCCCTTTTTCCTTTACACATTAGCCTATATTCCGCCCTTACTTTTCTAGATTGCAAGAATTTGAATTAGTGCAGTAGAATTTATAAATTTAAAAATTTAGAAAAATTAATTGATTTATGAACTTTTTTTTAATACTTTAAGTATATGCAAAATATGACATAATTAAAATTTACTATTTATTAATATCTATTATTTTGAAACTTGTATAATCGATAGTGTTGCATTTGTATAAGTAAAAACACGTATGTTAATAAAAGGCAATAATTTATAAATTTTAAAATATATATAATACTTTTGTGTTGAAGGAGACAATAAAAACGTATTAATGATATTAGATTTTGTATGATATATTGTATGATAATTGCAGTATTTGAAAATTTGTGCAAGATTCAAGCAAGACTTTAAAATTTAACTAATTTCAACAAGTTATATCTTTCTTTTATGTAGAGAATCTCTTCAATGGATAAGGCAATATTTTAAGAAATATAACGAACAACGTTAAATATATATATTAAAATATATTAAAATCAGATAATTGTACAAAGACTTATACCAAATTCTTATATATATCTGAAAATATAAAAAACATAATTGAAACACACATGCTTAGAACAGCATATACCATATACTCCACACTTGGATATAAAACACATTTAAGGTCATTCTGAAACGCAAAATTTAATAAGATAAATAATTCTTTTAAATTAATGATATTTATTTCAATTTTTTTTTTCATAATATCTCTGCACCTCTCCAAAAGCTACTAAAAGAGTAAATGAAAAACCGATAAATATAAATATTATTATTTAGTTTTTTTTTAGTGATTAATATAAACTTTTGAAAAATAAATGAACATATATACTTAATGAATAAGAAAGTTAGTCTCGAAATAAACAAAGGTATGCGAGCCGAAGGCGAAAATTTGTGTTTTAGATAATAAATAGTATATTGTGTATCAAGTGCGGAAAGTTGACAATTATGGTCACGAGTGAGGGGGATGGACGCACGAGCCGAAGGCGAGTGCGACCACCCCACACGAGTGAACAATTGTCAATCCGCACTTGATACACATACTATTTTGTATTGCAAGTGCAGGCAAAGTGGCTGTTTCAGCGCGTTTTCTGTGCGCGAGGCGGCCGATCGCACGCCGACATCTTGCCGCGGCACGGTGGGGGAATAGCCGGTTTCAATACATCTCCTACGGCTTGAGCCGTATACAATGACTTTTAACGCGGCTCAGCCGTAGATAATGGCTTTGAAACCGACTTATTCACTCACCGTGTCGCCGTTAGATGGCGGCGTGGGAAATCAGCCGCTTTCGGCACAGAAAACATGCACCGAAAGTGCCACATTGCCTGCACGTGTAATACAAAGGTTTTTTGTGCTTACCATAAAACGATTTGCATATCTGTCAACATAAGAGTTGCAAAATTTCTTTTTCATATTTTTCGGCTTGTTGGTAATAATTCTCCATTTCTAAAACAATGAACTGCATTTATCAAAACGTATGTTAATAATTTTCTTATTAATTTATGAATGCGTGTGAATTAATATTGGAATATTTTATTATCAATTAATAAATCAACTTAAATTCATATCGTATATGACAAAGCTGTAAAATTTATGGCAGAAAATCTAAAAAATAACAAGTATTAGAATAATTAAATCTAATAAATATTCATTTTATAAAATGTAAAGTTTTATTAATCAGTAGAAATATATAAGACTCTTGATAATTATAATTTATAGATAAAATAAAGGATAGCTATAGAGCAAAGATATTCTTAGATAGTAGATATTCTTTGATAAGAGAGACGATTAATTTTAAAATTTCGATTTGGTTCGAAAAATTTTGAATATTCTGAATGCATAAAATATTGACAACTATTTTACAAGTACATTTAACATTAATTTTTTAATATTAAATCGACATGAGGAAATTTTATCCTAATAATATCTTTGGCTCATCAGATAGTTCGCAGTATTTGAATGTGGTACGAAAATCTGTGCTGATTGCCACAACATATTTTCCATACATCATCATGAATAAAAATCATTCTGCCTGGTATAAAAATTTTAAATTTAATCATCCCTTTTATGAATAAAAATTTGTGCACTGTAAAAGATCGACGTAATATTGAACAATAAATAATACATTGCGCAGTAGCTCTTACAAATATTTATTAAGAATTTAGAAAATATATATATTTATGTATAACACAAATACACTAATATCGAGATAATATTTATCGATCCGTTTCGTTTTGTATAAGTTGATGCGAACGTTATGTTTATGTGCGATATGCATTTTATTAAATTTATATTTGATTAAAATAAAATATCTTAATTGATTTTGGTGTGAGAAATTAATTCGCCAGTATAAAATAAACCAAAATTAAGTATGTAATATTCAAAAAACAACAAATAACAACGTTACTGACGAGACGTCTCTGAAGACACAAGGTTTAATTTTATATATTTTTACATCAGTGATATGTTTTAAATTTTTCTCATTGCTTTACTATTATGTCATCTCAAAGATTTTTTCATTTGAAAATGACTTAAACCACAGGTCGAAATGTCATGATATTTCTATTTTAATAAAGGAATTATTGTCCAGTTTTGGTCGTTTTTGTTGAATATTACATACTTAATTTTAAATTTATATTTCTAAAAATACTTATACTCAATCAAATTCTAATTCTAATTCTTTCCTGTTGTCATCAAAATAGACGTATATTGTATCCCTTCTCTGAAAGCTCCACACACAAACCTGAGCAATACGTAGTTTAATTATTGAAACTTATACAATATTATAGGAAAAAGGAAAATACGTAAATATATGGATAATAATAAATATACAGAAATATATATATAATTATTGAAGAATATTTGTTATTATAAAAAAGTTTTTGTTTTCCCACGTTAATCATCCATTTCGCGTCTCGCGATTATAATTAATTTCTCAACAATAATAATGTTTCAAAAAGTTAAAGCTAAATATATCGATTACAATCTCAAAACTTTAATCAAACTTTATCTTAACTTTAACTTAACTTCAACATTCGAAAATGTATGTGTAATAATAATAGATATGCATACAAATGCAAATACATACAAGGACATAGAAACAAATTTTTAAAATTATAAAATGCGTTGATTTTTGTTAACAATCAGATAAATTGTCATTATTTTATTTGCATTGACACAAACCGTATATCATATTTACATGTCTAAATTTTATAATATATTTAAATACAATATATATTTCAAATAAAAATGAACTTTTTCGTCATCACAAAATTCATATTTATAAGTATGAATTAATATTTTCAATCTATATCAAATTATATTATTTATTATAATAGAATTATATATTTTGAAAATAAAAGATAAATATATCGCAATCTCTGTTAAATTATATATCTCAATTATAACAGCTTCCTTCGTTTTGACTTAATTATTATCTAAATGTACCATGAATTTTAGCTCGAGAATCCTGAAGCAGAAATATTTTACTTCTATTCCTTAGTTACATTAATTATAAACCGATAAGTCACATTAGTACATAAAACTGAAATTATAAAAAAGAATAAAAATAAGTAAAATCCTTCTTTTCAGACAATCTGCAACTATTGTGCAAATCCAATTATAATAATTATCGTAATTAATTTATGTCGTAGTAATACACTCATTTGGTTAAACGCATTATTATAGCAAAAGGAAATTTGCTCTGTCAATTTTTCAAATAATAATATAATAATTTGTATGTTAAATTGAGAAATACTTTCAAAAATCTCTATTAAGATTTTCGTTTTTTTCTAAGTTTCTTTGAATAATAGAGTTAAATATGAAAAAACATTAATATTCAAAAGTTTATGTAAATATATTATTCTTTTCATATAGCATTTGTTTTTGATAATTCTAAAATATATCAAAAATATTAGTTTATATTACAGTATATGTGTATATTCAAAATAATTGCATGTATGTTTTATGTAATTATACATTAGTCCATATTTCCAAAATCAGAATATATGTTAATAAATCACAAATAAACAATGTACTTTATAATTTGTGCTTTGAATTATATACCATTATTGAATAATAAAAAATAAAAAATTTTAAAATATTGCTTCCGATTGCTATTTTAATAAAGAAGAAATTATTAAATAAATATTATTTAATCAGTTACATGTACATTTTACATAGACAATCATTTATAAGATATGCTCCAGATAATATATAACACGGAAATTATGTAGATAACAGATATATGTATATATATCTATTTAATACATAATTCTGATTAAATAATTTTATTTTATTATTTCCTTCCTTAAGAGTTGCCGAAAAAATATAATTCAAAATTATTCGATTTATTTTTCATTAAAAAGTTGCTTTATATAATTTAAATTATGAAGTATTGCATATATTAATTAATTTTTATAAGTCAGAAAAAAATTTCTATATATTTATTGCAGCGCATGATCTCGGCGCAACATTGTTTATAATTTTAAAGCAAAATAAAGTAGAATTTAAAGAACTAATATTTTTCGATATATTTTACAAGAAAATTCAATTCAATTATTTCTCACTATTAATTTCATGATTCAATATGATATCACTAAAAGGTTGCGATCTTTAAGGAACAGAATATATGTAAATATGTTGAGCAAAAACATATATTGTTCGTCATATTTTCCTTAAAATAACGCAGTACTTAAGTTAATAATCTTGACTTTACGTTTAGTTATTTGTTATTATTTAGTCATTTATATATATATATATATATAATCGTGATAATTTTCATAAAATTAATTATCAATTCTCACTCCATCACAATTGATGCTGATAGGTTTAGCATCAAAATTCTGTCCTCGAAAATAATTTCTAATATTTTCGACTTCTTGGTTTGTAATGTTTGGTGGTAGCAAAATGTATACAAATCCAGCTCCAAAACCTGTAAGTTTTCCCTGCAATCCAATATTGTTTGCAAATGCGCAAATATTATCAAATGCCTCATCCGACAATTTCGACGTGCTCAGTAATTGTTGATTCCACCCAATGCATGCCTGTAAAATATGAAAAACATTAGTTATACAATGAACATATTCTAACTAAAAATTATGTATTAGACAATATTGTCAAAGCAGCAAAACTAAAAAAAAAAAAAATATATATATATATATATATATATATAAATAAAATAATAACACTGTTAAATAAAAACAAAGATGATACCTGTAATCTATTGTAATAATACATTTGATCTTGATATTCTAAGTTCCTATCATTTACTGAAACGAGCCCATCAAATAGTATTAATGCTACGTCGTCAAATTGATTTAATATAGAATAAAATTGAGGAGATTCATATTCGAGATTTGCCATTTTTTTCGCTTGTTCGCTCTTTTTCAGGCAAATATTTGACTTAATCAGTAGAATCGTCATTTTTGCCATCTTTGCGAACAATGGATCAATATTTATGTGATCGACAAGTCGACTTTTCACTGTATTGCCGTATACACAAATGTTGACGTCGGCTGTCGTTGTTGTGTATATAAATTCATAACTATGCAAAAATGTCTCGCAAAAACTAACGTAAGTTTCAACTTTCTTCAAAAATTTATTATTACTAAATTGAATAGAATGTCCCGTCTGTAGATTCTTCCAATGTATAAAGCACGCCGCAAGACATACCGCGAAAGATGTCGAACTGCCAAGACCAGCTCCCATATATATATTTGTGGACACGCGCACATGAAAAGATGTTATGTCAAGAGTCTCCTTGTAAGCGATAGTATAAAGCATGAAAAAGAATATTTTTAAACTGAATCTCTGCTCGAATGTTCTCCACATACCGTTTAAAGTAATCAAGGATTTCACGTAGTTAAGCACATTAATTGGATTTGATTTTATGTCATTTTTTTGAGAAAGAAAGCCTCGAACTTCTTCTAAAGGTATATTAAGCTTTAGCTTAACTTGAGAAAAATCTATTTCAATTTTGTTCTTATCAGGTAATTCGTAGAATATAAGTTTGGTACGACGATTTAAACTGGTCGCAACATAATGTTTTCCATACGTCGCCGAATGCTCTCCGGATAAAACGATTCTGCCCGGTGCGGAAATTTTAAACTTAATCATCTTTTGTAATCAATAAAAATATCTCTTTTTAATAGACTTCTGTAACGAGTTGAACAGTATTGAGTTGATAATTAACTTTGCGTAGTTCCTTACAAACTTTTTTTTTCTTTGTTCTCTTATAAACGCACAAAAGTCTTTATACAATTTTAACTATTAAAATTTTATAACGTAGACAAGATAAAGAAAGGTCTAATAAGAAAAATTTTAAACGTTCGTTATCTACAAGACTGAGTTTGTTTCCTGTACACTTTTGCGTCTCAGTCGTGACTGATTTTGTCTTGGAACGTATAATACATAACACGTTACTTCAAAGTCATGATTTTATAAATTTAAATATGAACTATAATGTAAACTTTTTAAATATGTGAGGAAGAAGTTGTTGGAACGCAAGTGTATGTTTATACATAATATAACAATAATATATTATTTTCAATATTATAAATCAATTCTTTTATTTTCGTAGTATATATAGTCCAAATAATATTTGATATCATATAACTTAAAAATATTTTATATTAGAATATTTATATATGTATTGTGTTCATATATACAATGTATAATATATACACGTAATACTAGATCAGATTTATAATATATATTTATATTTCATATATAATTTTTATAAATTTATTAGTGATAATGTATATAATTCATTCAACATGCATATGGGTAATTCCACGTCAAATCGGACAAAAATCGGTCTTTTTTGACTTCGTATTTTTTAAAATAAACAAAATTTTTTTTACATGAAATATACATAAAATGAGGAGATACGTATTTTTGCATTTGTCTGAAATATTTTTTTTTGCAGAAGTTATAAATAATACAATTTTCATAAAAATAAAGAAGTTGTCAACTTTAAAAATTAATATCTGTGATTATATTTGTCGTAGAAATATTTTCAAAAAAAACATTTTAAAGCTAAGAAGACAATCTTTATTATCAAATTAGTTTAAGTTCCAAAAAATTATTAATTTTAATTATTCTAATTAATTAAAATGTTTAATAATTTTTTTCAACAAAAAATACACTTTTTAAAATTTTCAAAAAAATACGATTTTATTCTCCATTTTATTCTGAAAGTGCATATATTTTTTATTTTATGGAGAATCGATGCATTTTATTTCTTTTATATATTTTTAATTCTATATTAACTATACAAAAGAAATAAAATGCATCGATTCTCCATAAAATAAATAGTATACACACTTTTAGAATAAAATGGAGAATAAAATAGTATTTTTTTGAAAATTTTAAAAAGTGTATTTTTTGTTGAAAAAAATTATTAAATACTTTAATTAATTAAAACAATTAAAATTAATAAGTCTTTGGAACTTAAACTAATTTGATAATAAAGATTGTCTTCTTAGCTTTAAAATGCTTTTTTGATAATATTTCTTTTAGAGAATATCTTATAAAGCGAACGCATATGTAATTCTGCATTCTCTGATTCTGAATATCATATACTGGAAGATTGCTTTACAAGATTACTTCAGTTTCTTAATGAAAGAGACGTGTGTAGGAATCGTTATAGGAAAAGAAATATTTGAAAAATATTTCGTTTATCACTTGCATAAAAATAATTTATTGTTGGCCGTTGAAAATAAAACTAGCACGCAGTCAAAAGTCAGAATTGTTCTTTAGAGAATAATTACAGATAACATGCGCAGAATTACGATAGACATGCAGACTCTCACAATCGATTTTCATTATCGATAATAGTCTGTCTATATTCGCGGCCTAAGTTCGACTCTCTGCTCTCGGTATTCGTATACCAGCGCTTTCCCCTACTCGATATCCTTGTTTTCGTATTCCTTCGTCCTTTCCCTATCTTATATATATATATTTTCGACTCCCAAATAACGGAATTATAACGCACTTATATTTTTAGTAGCCTACACGTGTGTTACATAGTTATATTACATTCTCTCGTTATGGTCGTCAAAGATTTGTTAACGATAGCTTTATTGCTTATCGCAGGCCAGAGTGTTTTTCTTCAAGCTAATGAAGTAGTGAATAATACAGTAGTGGAAGAATACATAGAAAATATATATCGGCTACCAAACCATGTCACGCCTATTCATTACAATATAAAATTAATACCATATATCGTGGAAGGTAACTTTACTTTCGAAGGCGAAGAGAACATCAAGATTAAGGTATGGGAACCGACACACATGATCGCATTCCACACCGTACAACTGACAATAAATGAAACCTTGACAACATTGACTCGAGACATGAAAGAGAACGATGTAAATGATGAACCGAATTATGTGCAAAAACAGCATAAATATAATCGTGCCACGCAAATTTTGATCATACGATTCGAGAAGCGATTGGATCCTGGGATTTACCAGCTATATCTCAAATTCACGGGTGTGATTAGTGATGTTAATCATGGATTCTATCGAAGCTTCTATACTGATAATGAAGGTCATAAAGTGTAAGTAATCATAAATAAAAGATTTATACATGTACATGTAAAATCAATAGGAGATATAACATAAATGTAATATTTTATAAAATATAAATATATAAAACATGTCTGTATAAAATAAATGTAATATTATTATAATTATATATTATTAATGTATTATAAAAGAAGTAAATATATATATTAAAAAGTTAATAGAAGAGCACAATTATCGTGTTTTTAACCCAGTAAGCAAAAAATCATTGCTACAACATTATTGTTGTCAAGTATGTAGTTTTTAGCATTGTATGCAACATCATTTTGAATAAACTTTGACATCAATTTAGAGGTTTCGGTAATGTTGAAATTATCGTTTTTAAAAAACTTTATTAATACTTTAAGAGCAATATGTTATTAATAATATTTTTAAAACATTTATAAAACATCAGTTAAAATATTTTTTTTTTCAATATTTATTAATAATATATTTTAATAACATATTTATAAAACATTATATTATAACGTTTGTAAAATTTATATAAAATCAGCATTTTAAAATGTTGATTAAATATTTCTTGCTTACTTAGGAACTCTCGTAATTGCCCTTAAAAATTAATTGAATCAAATAGCGATCTGCTTCCTCACTCTCCGATTATTTATACGTTGAAGTAAACTACAATAAATTTGCAGATGGTTGGCAGCAACGCATTTCCAACCTGTTTCCGCACGAAAGGCGTTTCCATGCTGGGACGAGCCTGCTATAAAAGCGACCTTCCAATTTTCCATAAAACATTATCCTAATTACACAGCGTTGTCGAACATGCCGTCCATATGGTCAGATATCGATTCGGCCGATGGAAAATTGTGGACATTCTTCATGACAACAACCTATCATGTCCACCAATTTATTGGGATTTGTGATCGCCGATTATGAGTACATCATGAATTCAAATGGTGGCATGAAAATATGGGGTCCGAGGCATCTCCTTCCTTACGCCACATATCCTCTTGATATCGCTGAGAAAGCAACGCGCGAACTCGAAAGATTCACCAATAGCACCGTTCACGTGCTGAAAATGGATCACGTTTCCATTCCTGATTATTCAAGCGCTGCCACTGAAAACTGGGGCATGATCGTCTACATGTAAGTGCATAAACATTTTTTTCTCCCTCTAGAGAAAATAATTAATAGTAGATAATCCTTTAAAAAACCACGGAGATAATTAAATGATTATATATATTATCAAATTAAGGAGATATGTATATTTTTATGTTTAACTTATCAAGATTATATTATTTAAACTGTGCTTATATTAAAACTAGAATATAAAATGAATTTTGTTATACTTTTCAAACAATTGAAGACTCACAGTTATTAAAATAAAATAAATGGCTCGATTAATTGTTTGACAGTTAGAACATTTTTGATAAAAAAAGAAGAAAAAGGAGAGGAAAATAAAGAATATTTCTTTACGTAGATTATTTCAATATTTACAAATATGAGCATTGTAAAATGTCCGCCGAAAATTATACTTATGTATATCGCAATGTAATAATATATTTTATATTATATAATCTTGCGTATTTGTAAAATAAAAATATTTGAAAAATTTTTAAGGCAAGACGTACTGCTTAATCGTGAAAATTCACGTTCGATAATTAACACCATGACAATTACAAACAAATTGGCGCAACAATGGTTTGGAAATCTAGTCAGCCCGGCTTGGTGGGATTATCTTTGGTTGAGCAAAGGCATATCGACCTATTTGAAGTTCTACATTACGGACAAGGTATTGGCAAATTTCGGGATCAAATATATGTTGAAGAGTAACAGATGGGCAAAGAGCACGTACACGATTTGTTAGTGTAAAGTAGTAATAAAGTAATAACAGCAATCAATTGTCAAACGTTTCGATTATTATTTAACTATCTTCAGTGACAAACTTTAGAATAGCAGTGTTATCAGTCAAAGAACAACGATCTATCCCGACATATCAAACGGAATTCCGATTACTACTTTACACTAAGATCGTGTACGTGCTCTTTTTTGCCCACCTGTTACTCTTTAATTATTATTTACTGAGCCTAACTAGTAAAAGCGTGTAAATATCTGTTGCATTAATTCTTTTCATGAACTTGTTCTTCGCAGTTTATTAAAGAATGGCGATTGATGGACTTGTTGGTGGTGGAATATGAGCAAGCAAAATTGTTTGAGGATTTGTTCACTTCCCAACCGATCAACGTAAACATTACAAATCACTTGGATATCTCCAAAGCATATTCTGACAACACGTATACAAAATGCAAGACATTTTTTAAATATATTTATTTAACTATATGTATATATGTATATAATGACATTATTAAATATCTATTTGAAGACATGTGATAATTGTTATAAAAAATAACTATAATAATATCTTTTATAAACATCTTAATATGTGTTATTTACAATGAGAGACAGAAAAAAGGAATTAAAAAGTTCAATTGGTTAAGAAATATCACACAAGTCAATTTTTATAATATACAATATTAATGTACATTTATTTTTCTTCAAACGTTTGTCTTAAACGAAAAGCATAGATTTTAGAATTATTATATCAAGATGAATATTATCTTTCTTTATATCGCGTAGTTGCTTATATATTTGTAAAATATATTTACAAATTATGTTTTTTTAATCTTTTCAGCTGCTGTTCTATTGCGAATGGTATCGCATTTCTTGAGAGAAGACGTGTTTCGAAACGGTTTAATAAAATATCTTCAAGCACAGTAAGTATAATTTTTTGAAATTTTTTATTATTGTTTACCTTTAGATAAAGTATAAATTCATAATTCAAGTTAATAAATGTAAGACAGTGTCGAGAATTTCATCGCGTATATGTTTGAACATTAAAACATTTCGCGTGTATGTTTGATCATTTAAACATTAAACTTATTTTGTGTATTTAATCACAGACATGCCTCTGTTTAAAAAATTTACATAATCTAATCTAAGGTTTTTTAAATAAATTAATTTTGAGTAATTAAAAAAATTAAAATATATATATATATATATATATATATATATATTAATTTTCTTAAAGAAATGTGTTAGGCTACAGAAAATGCAAATGCTTTTAATTATCAAAAGTCTTATCATTATCAAGTACACTTGTATATCTATATTATATGCATTATTGATTTTCAGCGAATACAGTAGTGCTACACCAGACGATTTATGGAAAGCATTGCAAGATGCTCTCGACGAATCAGACGTACTGCACGATAATTTAAAAATAAAAGAAGTGATGGACACGTGGATCAAACAGGCAGCGTATCCTGTCGTGACAGTCGTTCGAAATTATGATACAGGTGAGATTAACGTGACGCAAAAACGAGTTATTCAATTTTCATCTCTTAATGACATTGAAACAACCGGCGCATGGTGGATTCCATTGAATTATATTACCCAAAGTAATCCGAATTCTTCGTCAACTCTGGCTACACATTGGTTAAAACCTCAGAACGAGAGTTTAACGATCGAAGGAGTCAACATTAATGACTGGATTATTGTGAATAAGCAGTTGACAGGTAAGTATCGTTATGTTATCAGATAAGGTACAAATTAAATTTTTTTAAATTTAATTCAAAATTTGATAATAACTTTTAAAAAATTATGAAATTTATTAATTTTTAATATTTATTTATAATAAATTTAAAAAATTTATTCAAAATTTGATAACAAATTCTAAAATATTGATCTTTATTATATGTACATTACATATTTTTAATTGTTTTTTTATTCTAAATAAAGGCTATTATCGCGTAAATTATGATATAATCAATTGGAAACGAATCATTGCTTTTCTTAATTCCGACGATTACGACAAAATCCCAATTTTGAATCGTGCGCAAATTATTGACGACGTTTATTACTTGATAACAACTAAACAGCTTGATTTTATTATTTTTCTCGAAGTTATAAATTATTTGTCGCGCGAAATCGATCCCATCCCATGGTATCCAGTATTCCGAATCATTTACAGATTAACTTCATATTTGCAGTTGCCCCGTGCATTTGCGATCTTTAAAGTAAGATATGTTTTGCACAATTTATAAATATATATTAAAACTGATTAATTATCTAAATTAATAAAAAGAGGAAGAAAAAAGAAAAATATTAATATTAATTAAGTTTAAATATTAATATATATGAATTATAATAATTTTGTGATTGATTTTTGCAAATTAAATATTTAATAATTAGTAGAAAAATTATTAGAAATAAAGCAATCTTGAATTAAGTTATTGCATTTTTAAATTGTTTAATCATTATAAAATGTTTTTAAGCCATATTTCTTCAACTTGACGCATAAGCTATTTGAACATATCGGTTTTGACGAGGATTCTGATGATGATCCTGCGACTATAAAAATTAGGGCAGATTTCATGAATATTGCTTGTATATACAACATATATCCAGACATGTTTGACAAATGTCGAGCAAAAGCTACCGCTAAATTACTTGCATATATGGAAAATCCAATCGAAAACATGTGAGCTTTTATTATTTTATCTATTAAATATGAATATGACAAATAAATTCAACAAATTTGGTTTTATCTCAAATGTCACTAAATTAGATTAGATAAATAAAAACAATTAATAATTAGATTTATATATAAAAATATTTTGGAATTATATTTTCGTTTTATTAAAATATGATAGCATGTATGTTCGAAATGATGCAAAGCATAAATATAATATTGTTAGCACATCACATTTTTTATTATATATTATATATGTATATTTATATATATATATATATATATAATATAAATATAATTTGAAAGTCATATGGTGTGATTTTTTGTGTATTAATGTTATTACAAGTCTTAAATATTATATTTTAATTTTGATTTCGTATTAAAGGATTTCATCTGATTTATATTTTTGCTTTATTAAAATAAGATAGCATATATGTTCGAAATGATGCAAAGCATAAATACTGTTGTCTTACATAATGTATAACACGCTGCTCATAAATAAAGTTAATATTATATAATTATTGACATAAAAGCATGTCGCGTAATAATTTGCCGAACAAATTGTTTGTTAAAGAAATCAGTAATTAATAGTAAATAATTATCATTTTTGGCACATCACATTTTTAATTTTATTATATATATATATATATATATATATATATATAATTTGAAAGTCATATGGTGGATTTTTTGTGTATTAATGCGTTATTACAATAAGTCTTAAATATTTTAATTTTAATTTTGTTATAGAAATATATCTGACCAACGATTTATTTGCTTTGGCCTGATGCAAGCAAATGAATCTATTTGGAATGAATTTCTGCAGAAAGTAAAGGTACCGAAACATTGCATATTTATTGGTTGTTCGGAGAATTTAGACATCGTCGAAAGCCATATAAACAATTGTGAAAGATATTATATTTATATTAATATCTTTTCAAATAAGTTCCAAACTATGTCAATTACAGATGCAACTATTGATTTCTTTATGAAGAACCTCGACCATATTATTGCAAAGTAAGTAACTATTTTTATATAAAATTCATACTCTCTTAATGTACGTTTTGTCTTTCTATTTCTGAGAGATACATAAATGATGATGCATAATACAATTATACTCATATAAAGCACAATATTTATGTGTATATAAATATGTTTTTCTTATATTAATTGATGTAGATAATTATCAGCTCAGAGATAGATATAATAAAAAATAACAAATAATATAGCTAGAAATAAAAAAAAATGTTTAATAATTATTTTTAAAGCAATTTTAAATAATATATATTTTATGATAGCGGAACTGTTAGATTTGTCCTTCGCTTTATTATTATGAGTATCGGGGAAGATCAAATTGAAAAGGTAAAATGACATTATTTTATACTTTTATATTATTAGACTATTAGTAAAATTCATTGAAGATAAAATAATACTATTTCTATATTTTTATATTACTATTATTTTATTATTTATCACATAATATTATATTATTTGAAATATTTATTGTCTGTTTTTCAATGTGATAGGTATATTGAATTTTGAAATAACTTGTGTTATAGATGAAAGCTTTTGCCGAACAACGTGATCTTGACATAAGTATGTATGTAGTTGAGAGAACAAAAGTCTTATCCAAAATAAATTTTTACTTGGCCAAAATTCATAATGCTCTCGAAAATAACCAATTCTCTATTGCAATGCACATTACACTAAATAATGCTACATCATTAAAAAGGAATGAACTTTAATAAATAAATGTGCAAATATGAAAATATTATAAACAATAATATAATTAATATATACTATTAATTATAAATCTGATATATTCTGTTTTTATATAAATAATAAGTATACTTTATTATTTTTATACACATACATGTATGTTTTAATTTCCCGCTTTTCAGACTTTAAACATAAACTTCTATATTACTTGAAATATAATATAATTTACATTTTATGTTGCAAATTACACATCTTATAATTTTGTAGTACACTGATGCATATATGAAGTTTATTATTATTTGAATTGTGCGCAAATTATCGACGACGTTTATTAGATGATAGCAACCGAACAGCTTGATTTTATTATTTCTCTCGAAGTTATAAGTTACTTGTCGTGCGAAATCGATCTCGTCCCATGGTATCCAGCATTTCGAATCATTCACAGATTAAGTTATTATTTGCGGATGCCCCGTGTGGCTGCGATCTTTAAAAGAAGATATATTTTGCACAATTTATAAATATATATTAAAACTGATTAATTATCTGAATTAATAGTAAGAGGAAGAAAAAAGAAAAATATTAATATTAATTAAAATTAAATATAAATATATATAAATTATAAAAATTTTGTGATTGATTTTTGCAAATTAAATATTTAATAATTAGTAGAAAAATTATTAGAAAGAAAGCTATCTTGAATTAAGTTATTGCATTTTTAAATTGTTTGATCATTATAAAATGTATTTACGTATACATATTTTTTTAACTTGGCGCATAAGCTATTTGAACATATCGGTTTCGACGAGCATTCTGATGATGATCCTGCGACTATAAAAATTAGGGCAGATTTCATCAACATTGCTTGTTTATACAATATATATCCAGACATGCTTGACAAATCCCTTGTAGAAATTTATCATTAGTAACAAATTAAATTAATCACTTATTTCGAGTAAAAACATTAGCGGATGTTTTAATTCTTTGGATTATCTTCAAAATTATAAATAATTACAAAAAATCGGATAAAAGATAATATAATAAATCAATATATATATATGTCACTAATATTAGAAAGAAAAAATATAAAGTAAAGACGAATAACATAATAAAACCCAAACGGTCGATATCAGCAGTTATATGCAAATATACATAAAAGTGACATCTTAAATTAAATTAAATCTTAATAAGAATATTTGTCAGTCAGCTCTCCTATTTTTTAAAAAACACCATCTTCATCTCGACTAAAAGCCAAACGCGATGTTAATGCGACAAATTAATATTTAGAAATTTTTGGAAACTGAGGAATTTGAATCCTATGGTTGGGATCTCAGAAATTCCCCTTGTTCCTTCTCTTAACAGAGAGTTAAGAGAAGGAACAAGGGGAATTTCTGAGATCCCAACCATAGGATTCAAATTCCTCAGTTTCCAAAAATTTCTAAATATTAATTTGTCGCATTAACATCGCGTTTGGCTCTTAGTCGAGATGAAGATGGAGTTTTTTAAATTAAATCTCTTATGTCGTCCACATAACACTGATAACACCAATATTAGACTGATTTTAAAAGTTCCAGCATCCTAGTCGAAACTTTCTAATTTGTTAAAATTTAAATTTGTTTAATATTGAGTCATACTAAACTTTTAGTTGTCATATTTTATTTTATATTACTATTAATTTATACAAAGTGGATCATTTTAATTTCACTCTAAATATTTTTTCCTACGCCTTTTATAAAAAAATGTTTCGTATAAAAGTTGTTTGAAAAAGATCTTTAAGGAGGAAGGAAAGAAAGATAGCAAGACAGCATATCTTGTATAATTTATTTAATTTATTGTGTATAATTTATTTAATTATTATACATTATTTCATATTTCTAAAAGTAGAATATGTGATAATAGATTACAAATAAACAATGTATTTATCACTTGTGTTTGGAATTATATAGTATTATGGAATAATAAAAAACTGAAAATTTTGAAATATTTACATATGGTATATGTATAATATTCCATTTAAAGATACAAAAATATCTAATACATAAATATAATTTATTGAATAATTAATATATTTTATCTTTATCTCCTAATTATTATAAGATAAATATTTAGTATACAAAACTCATATAAAAAAGTAATAGAAATAAATATACTTTCTTCTTGAGACAATCTCTAGCTATTGTATAAATCAAATATTATTGTAACAATTATAATAATTGTCGTAATTAATTTCCATTTTAATATAGTCTTAATATAGTCATATTCATATAAACATAACTAACGCAAGAGAAAATTTTTCTGCTATATTTATATTTATAATATAAAAATTCGTATATTATTTTGATAAATATTTTATTACCTTTATTATAATTTCTGTTTTACTATTTAATTTATTTTAAATTGTATAACTAAGTTAAAAATGAAAAAAATGTAAATTCCTTTCAAAAGTTTATAAAAATAAATTATTCTTTTCATACAGCACTTTTTTATAAAAATAGTAAGAAATATACCAAAATATTACCTTTTATTAACAAAAAATTATTCTATGTAACTTATTTAATTGTCATCATACTTTCAAACCTAGAACTATTTTACAGGTATACATTTAACATTTAACATTAATTATTTAATATTAAATCGACATGAGGAAACTTTATTTTAATAATATCTTTGGCTCATCAGATAGTTCACAGTATTTGAACGTGGTACGAAGATCTGTGCTGGTCGCCACAACATATTTTCCATACATCATTATGAATAAAGATTAATATGCCCGGTGTAAAAATTTTTAATTTTATCATCCCTTTTATGAATAAAAATTTGTGCCCTGTAAAAGATCGACGTAATATTGAACAATAAATAGTATATTGTACAGTAGCTCTTACAAATATTTATTAAGAACTCAGAAAATGTATATATTTATGTATAACACAAATACCAATATCGAGATAATATTTATCGATCCGTTTCGTTTTGCATAAGTTGGTGCGAACGTTATTTATGTGTGATTATGTACATTTTATTAAATTTATATTTCTAAAAATACATATATTCAATCAAATTCTAATTCTTTCCTGTTGTCATCAAAATAAACGTATATTGTATCCCTTCTTTAAAAGCTCCACACACAAACCTGAGTAATACGTAATTTAATTATTGAAACTTATATTATAAGAAGAAGAAAAATATGTAAATATGTAAATAAATGTATAATAATAAATATACAGAAATATATATAATTAATCGAAAATATTCGTTATTATAAAAAAGTTTTTATGTTTTATCCATATTATCCATATTAATCTATTTCGCGTCTCGATTATGATTAATTTCTCAACAATAATAATGTTTCGAAAACTTAAAGCTAAATATCAATCTCAAAACTTTAATCAAACTTTATCTTAACTTTAACTTAACTTATTCAACATTCGAAAACGTATATGTAATAATAATAATAGATATGGATACAAATACATAGAAGGACATAGAAACAAATTTTCAAAATTATAACAATAATTTTAATTTTTGTTAACAATCAGATAAATTGTTATTGTTTTATTTGCATTGACACAAACCGTATATCATATTTACATGTCTAAATTTTATAATATATTTAAATACAATATACATTTTAAATAAAAATGCACTTTTTTGTCATCACAAAATTCATATTTATAGATATGAATTAATATTTTCAATCTATATCAAATTATATTATTTATTATAATAGAATTATATATTTTGAAAATAAAAGATGTATATACCGCGATCTCTGTTAAATTACAGATCTCAATTATAACAGCTTTTTTCATTTTGACTTAAATATTATTATCTAAATGTATTATGAATTTTGGCTCGAGAATCCTGAAGCAGAAATATTTTACTTCTATTCCTTAGTTACATTAATTATAAACCGATAAGTCATTAGTACATAAAACTGAAATTATAAAAAAGAATAGAAATAAGTAATCCTTTTTTTCAGACAATCTCCAACTATTGTGCAAATCCAATTATAATAATTGTCGTAATTAATTTATGTCGTAGTAATACAGTTATTTGGTTAAAGGCATTATTATAGCAAAAGGAAATTTGCTCTGTCAATTTATCAAATAATAATATAATAATTCGTATGTTAAATTGAAAAATACTCTCAAATTTCTATCAAGGTTTTCGTTTTTTTCGAAGTTTCTTTAAATAGTAAAGTTATATATGAAAAAAGACTAATATTTAAAAGTTTAAATATATTATTCCTTTCATATAGCTCACTTTTTATTTGTTTTTGATAATTCTAAAATATATCAAAAATATTAGTTTATATATATATATATATATATATATATATATATATGTATGTATATATATATTCAAAATAATTGCATGTATATTTTATGTAATTATGCATTAATTCATATTTCTAAAATCAGAATATATGTTACTAAATTACAAATAAACAATGTACTTCATAATTCATGCCTTAAATTATATATAGCATTATTAAATAATAAAAAATTAAAAATTTTGGAAAATTGCTTTCAGTTGCTATTTAAAAAAAAAGAAATTATTAAATAAATATTATTTACTCAGTTATATGTACATTTTACATAGACATTTATCTATGAAATATTCTCCAGATAATATGTAACACCGAAATTATGTAAATAACAGATATATGTATATGTATATATATCTATTTTTAATACATAATTCAGATTAAATAAATTTTATTTCCTTTCTTAAGAGTTGCCGAAAAAATATAATTCAAAATTATTTGATTTATTTTCTATTCAAAAATTGCTTTATATAATTTAAATTATGAAACATTGCATATATTAATTTATTTTTATAAGTCAAAAAGAAATTTCTGTATATTCATTGCAGCGCATAATCTCGACGCAATATCGTTTATAATTTTAAAGCAAAATAAAGAATTAAAAAAACTAATATTTTTCGATATATTTTATAAGAAAATTCAATTCTAAGTTTTCCCACTTTTTATTTCATAATTCAATGCGACATTATTAAGAAACCGTAATTTTTTTTTAAATTTCACAAATATCAAGTTAGTAATTTTGCTTTATCTTTTTTGTATTCTATCAATTTAATAATAATTAATTATTTATATGTAATTGTTATAATTTTAGTAGGATTAATTAATTCTCAATCCGTCACAGCCTATTGTAGCAATTTTGTAACTGCATCTTCTATACGAAAAAAAATTGGTAATACGTTTGATTTCTTCCTGTGTTATTCTTGGTGGTAACAGAAAGTATACATATCTGCCTCCAAAACCTGTAAGCTTTCCTGACAAATTGAATCCACCTCCAAGGCAGGTAATAATATCAAATTCAAAATACGACAAGTCATATCTGCTTAACATTTGTTGATTTCTCTTAATGTCTCTCTGCAAACACGAAGAACGTTAGTTATAAGATTGTACATACAGTTTCTGGCGAAAAACTATTTAATAAAAGATATTTCATAACGCAGTAAAACTAAAGAATATTGTATATAATAAAATAATATCATTGTTAAATAAAAAGAAAAAATAGAAGAAATACTTGTAAGTCGCTATAAGCATCATCAGGATCTTTTATATTATTATTAATATTATAAAGATCATTAAATATTCTTGTTGCTATTTTCTCTAAATCATTTAAAATTGAATTGAAATAGCTAGGACGGAAATATTTTAACTCTAGCATTTGCAGATATATGCTGTATTTGTCTGATTGTAAGCGATGTGTGTCGATCAATAGAATCTTCATTCCTGTTGTTAAATTTATAGTTTCCTCGATAGAACAAGATTGATAATTATTACTTATGCATTTATTTATACTGCCATATATGCAAACTTTGGCATCGATCGTCTTAAACGTAAATATACCATTATGTTCTCACAGGATTCAGTGTAATGTTCAATCTTCTGTAAGTCTTGTTCATTAAATCTGATATAATCACCACTTTGTAGACGCTTCCAACGAAGAAAACACGCTGCCAGACAAACCGCGAACGAAGTTGAACTGCCAAAACAATCTCCAAAAGGAATTTCAGTGGACACGCGTAAACGAAAAGGTTTTACTTCGTGCTCCATATCGTAAATGATAATAAAAAGCAAGAAAAAGAACATTTGTAAGCTTATTTTCTCCTCGGGTTTCTCCCACATATTGTTTACGTCGATAAAGGAATCCACTTTTTTAAGCAAATTGACTTGATCGGAAAACAAGTTTTCGCGAATAAGTCGAGAAAATAAGTATTGAACTTCTTGTAAAGGTACATCCTTCTCATAATCCTGAAACTCTATTCTAATGTTAGTTTGCTCATCTGATAGTTCGCAGAATTCTAGATTGGTGCGAAGATCTAAGCCGGCCACAACAAAATGTTTTCCAAACATCACCGTGTGTTCCCCAGATAAGATGATTTCACCTGGTGCGGAAATTTTAAACTTAATCATCTTTTTATTCATTTTTATGAAAATATTTCTTCTTGACAAAACTGATGCAACATTGAATGGTAGAGAGTTAAATTTACGTAGCTCTCACAAATATATTTATTGGAATTAATATATAAAAAAATATATTCTCATAAAATGAGAAAAATTTGGAGATTATATTTGTCGTTTCTTCTCGATCTATAAACGTAAGAAATACATAACGAGTCAGTCATATGCGGCAGAAATATCTCATCGGTTATACATAAAAATATGCAAAGTATATATGAAATAGATTTGTATGCAAAGTACTTAAATTAATTTACTTACATTCTATTTGATACTTGTTACATGCGCATTTGATTTTATTTAGCAGGTAAATTAAATTCTATTTTTCTCCAAGAACCCGTACATATGTCTTCTTAAGTATTTAATTTTTAAAACGCTAAAACACAAAATTAAAACCACTGATAATATAAATTTAAAACGTTCATTATCGCACACGAGATACTGGTTATATTTCCTGTATACTTTCTTGTCTTAAGTTAGACTGAATTCATTTCGCAATATATAAAAATGTTATTACAAAGTCATATCTTTAAATATAAACAACAATATCAGACGTGTTTAATGTTTTAATCAAAATTCGTTAATAGCAATATTTTTTTGTTGTTTTCAGTTAATGTTTATTATCATAATTTAAAATACATGTATAAATACATACCCAGGTAGCCACAGTAATTATTATGACATCATTTTGATGTCAAAATGCATCATTTTGATGGCAATTAAATATTACATATATATATTTAATTTAAAGATACGAAAATATATAATACTTTGATAAAATTTATTAAATAATTTATATATATATATATATATATATATATATATCGGTCATGTATATGATGTATATCACAAACGCAATAGTACTAAAGCAGAATAATTTTATTTTTATCTCCTAATTATTATATATAAAATAAATCTTATAATAATTAGTTTGTAAAACAGATATAAATAAGAAATAGAAATAAATATTTTTTTCTTTTCTTAAGACAATCTCTAGCTATTTTATAAATCTTATAATATTGTAATAATTATAATAAATTGTCGTAATTAATTTACGTCGTTGTAATATAGTTATATTCATATAGGCATAATTAACGCAAGAGAAAATTTTGCTAATATCTATTTATATAACAACATAAAATTTGTATATTATTTCGATAAATATTACTTTATTATATATATATATATATATATATATATATATATAATATATATATATATTTTTTTTCAAAATAATTGCATATATAATTTATTTAATTATACATTATTCCATATTTCCTAAAGCAGAATATATGTTATTAAATCACAAATAAACAATAATGTACTTTATAATTCGTGCATCAAATTATATTGCATTATTGAATAATAAAAAATTGAAAATTTTGAACTATTGCTCCCGGTCTTTTAACAAATAAAAAATTACTAAATGAATATTATTTAATCAGTTCTATATATTACATAGACATATACAGGGTGTCTCTAAAGTCCGTTACCATCCCTAATATTTCGGAAATGAATCAAAATTTCGAAAAATCGATTTTCAATGGTGGATCACCCCCCTTGGACTCCTTTGAGGGGCGAAATAATCGAACACGTGTTTTGCAATTTTTCGAAATTTTGATTAATTTCCGAAATATTAGGGATGGTAACGAACTTTAGGGACACCCTGTATATATATATATATATGTATGTATATATATGTATATAAATATGTATGTATATAAGACATCCTCCATATAATATGTAACACAAAAATTAAACATGCAGCTAACAGATACACATATGTATATGTATATACATATATTTAATATACAATTCTAAATAAATAAATTTTATTTAATTATTTCCTTTCTTAAGCGTTGCCGAAAAATATAATTTAAAATTATTCGACTTATCTTTTATTCAAAATTTACTTCACATAATTAAAATTATAAAGAAATGTTTATATTATTTAATTTATAAATCAGGAAAAATTTCTGTATATTCATTGCAGCGCATGATCTCGGCGCAACATTGTTTAAATTTTTAAAGCAAAATAAAGTAGAATTAAAAAATTAATATTTTTTGATATATTTTATAAGAAAATTCAACTCAAAGTTTTCTTACTTTTGATTTTATAATTCAATGCGATATTATTAAGAGACTGCCGTTTTTTTTTTAATTTAACAAGTATTAAGTTAATAATTTTGCGTCATCTTTTGTATTCTATCAAATTAGCAATAATTATTTATATATAATCGTTATAATTTTAGTAGAATTATATATCAATTCTCACTCCGTCACAGCCTATTGTAGCAATTTTGTAACTGCATTTTCTATACGAGAAAAGATTTGTAATACGTGTGATTTCTTCCTTAGTAATTTTTGGTGGCAACGGAAAGTATACATAACTACCTTTAAAACCTGTAAGTTTTCCTGCCAAATTAAATCCACTTCCAAGGCAGGAAACAATATCAAATTCAAAATACGACAAATCATATTTGCTCAACATTTGTTGATTTTTCTTAATGTCTCTCTGTAAAACACGAAAAATTTTAGGTATAAAATTGTACCTACAGTTTCTGGCGAAACATTGTAATAAAGAATTTTTCACGCCGCAAAACTAATAAGGAATACAGCATAAAATAAAATAATTTCGTTGTTAAATAAAAAAATATAAAAATACCTGTAAGTCATTGTAAGCATCAGAATTTTCTATGTTATTATTAATATAATTTAGGTCATCAAATATATTTATTGCTATTTCGTCCAATTCATTAAAAATAGAATTAAAATTGCTACGTGACAACATCAGATCTGCTATTTGCTTATATCTTTGTGCTTCCGTTAGGCAAAGATGTGTCCCGATCAATAGAATCTTTATTCCTGTTTTAACAACATCTATACACTTCATATCATAAACATTAGAATGAATATGTTTGCATTTATTTATACGGCCATATACGCAAACTTTGGCATCGATCGTTGCTAATGCATCCTTTTGCAAAATGCCCTCACAAGATCTAGTGTATTCTTCAATCTTCTCTAAGTCTTGTTCATTAAATCTAATATGAACACCACTCTGTAGACGCTTCCAATGAAGAAAACACGCTGCCAGACAAACCACGAATGATGTCGAACCGCCAAGACCATTTTCAAAAGGAATTTCAGTGGACACGTGTAATCGAAAAGGTTTTATGACAAGATGCTCTTTGTAAGTAACAGTACAAAGTAAGAAAAAGAGCATTAGTAAGCTAATTTTCTGCTCGGTTTTCTCCCACATATTGTTTACGTTGATAAAGGAATTCACTTCTTTAAGCAAATTGACTTGATCGGAAAACAAGTTTTCGCGTATAAGTCGAGAAGATAAGCATTGAACTTCTTGTAAAGGTACATCCTTCTCATAATCCTGAAACTCTACTCTAATGTTAGTTTGCTCATCTGATAGTTCGCAGAATTCTAGATTGGTGCGAAGATCTAAGCCGGCCACAACAAAATGATTTCCAAACGTCACCGTGTGGTCCCCTGATAAAATGATTCTGCCTGGTGCGGAAATTTTGAACTTAATCATCTTTTTATTTATCTTTATAAAAATATCTTTTCTTGACACAACAAATGCAACGTTGAATGGCAAAGAGTTAAATTTACGTAGCTCTTACAAATATATTTATTGGAATTAATATATAAAAAATATATTCTCACATAAAATGAGAGAAATTTGGAGATTATATTCATCGTTTCTTCTCGATCTGTAAGTGTAAGAAATGCGTATCGTGTCAGTCATATGTGAAAGAAATATCTCATTTGTTATACATAAAAATATGCAAAGTATAATCAAAGGATATGTTTGCGAAGTACTTAAATTAATATACTTACATTTTATTTGATTCTTGTTTTTATTTGGCAGAATAATTAATGTCTATTTTTCTCCGAGAACCGCACATATGTCTTCTTAATTATTTAATCTTTAAAACGTCAAATAAGCAAAAAGAAAGTTACTGATTATATAAATTATATCGCCCTCATTGGTTATATTACTTATAATTTTGCAAACTTCCTTATATAGAAACATATATATATAAATATATAAATATATATATTTATATATAAAAACATGTAAACATAATTCCGATTCAGTTTTAATCTTTATTTTTACTTCCTTGAATTACTTATTTCAATATAGGGTCAAAAGTTATTAATTAAATTCAAATATGAGATTATTTCATATTTTAAATCTTACCTTGAAAAACTGTAAAAAATTTTGCCTTGTGCAAAGTTACTTAATCCTAACGAAAAATTTAAAATGTTAGGATAACGCAATTCAAAAGTTGGTCTTCACTTTTCTTGTATCTTTAAATTTATATTTTATTACAGGCCTTGTTAAACTTTTAATTTAAAATGAACGTTAAATATAATTTTACTGATAAGACATCTTAATTTTCTTCAAAAATTAAAAGAGAAATATTTTTCAACCGAGATTCTTCAATTGTTTTATATAATTAATAAAATGTTTCAAACGGTGTTTCGACCATATAATTTTGGTCTTTCGCACACTTAACATTAACAATTAATAGGAAAATTATATAAATTTATGTGATTAATTAAATAATATTAATTAGCCTATATATATTTGGTCGAAAATATTCAACATTCAATAATTTTTAAGATTTAATTAGAAAACGCGAATAAAGTACTTTTTATTTCTTATTTGTGTATTCTTCAATACATATAATTGCATTTTTTAATATTAAAATTATATATAGATATATATTTGAGATAGAAAATTTGATATTTTTCTATCGGTTCTTTTTTAGTAATAACATTGAAATCAAATAAATCGTTATAAAGTAAAAGAAACGTACATTTTAATCCTTTTATAATTATATTTTTTAATTAAAATCTTTTTTCATGTTTAATTAACTCTTTATGTTGATCATGATAAAAGATTTTGTTGGAATGATTATAAAAGACATATAATAATAATTTGGGATTAGCGAAGTTAATTTGTATGTGTAAAACATACTAATCCTAACATAATCGCTTTAGTATATCAAGAGACACGGTAGTGTCTCGCGACCAGTTAAGGGCGTAGCGGAGACACCGTGTATCTTAACGCGAGTCGGACATTTGAGTCTTTATAATATTTCGAATCCTCAATAATGGCTGAAGCAATCGAGTTTATACTAGACTTAATCGATAGATTGAGTTCGAATTATATAATAAAAGTGTCTTTATTTCTGCTCTACGTGATTTGTAAGCAGAGATATATAAATGCAAAGTCGAAATATGAAAAATTTCTATTAAGAAACGTCCCCGTCATCATTATTATTATCATCATCGACCACGCATACATAGTAGTATCGTGCTACACGTATTCACACGTATACAACACATGCGCACACATATATCACACGTACACAACACATGCAAGATGCATGTAGTGGTAATTTTGTCCATCTCGCACGTTTTACAACAGATGGCGATAGTGGCGCTCCGCCATATCGGCAGCGTGCGGGGTTATGTTGGCTAACTCTCTCTCTCTCTCTCTCTCTCTCTCTCTCTCTCTCACACACACACGCACACACACACTCTCTCATTCTCACTCACTCACTCACTGTTCGTCTTGTGTACTTATTTAGTACATTCATGATTAAACATCTATATGCATTAATGTGAAATTTACTTACAATTAGTTTACTTGAAATATTCAATCTCTAAAGTGTTTATCTTATAAGATAGACAAAAAAATCTGAGTAAATAATAAGAAAAAAAAACAAGGATTATTATTGTCATAATTTTTTATCAATTAAGTACTCTCAACTATCCAATAATTAAATAAATACGTACAAATGTGCGCGCGTGTACACACATACACATATTGATATTAAAGAGATTGAAGGAGAGGAAGGAGAAGATAAAAATTTAAATATTCACATATATTTTCAAATATTATATATGAATTTATAGTTTACATATCTAATTAATAATGAATTTCTAATTATATTAAACATATCAAAATAAAGACATACATGTATTTATCAAATGAATAAAATTATTGAATACAGACTTAAAAAATTTATTAAACATAGACTTAAAAAATTAATTAATTAAACATATTCCAAATTTAGAAAAAATAAACTTTATTTATATATGCAACAGCTTTTTAAACTAAATTTTTAAATTCTATTTTATATTAGACAATTATCTCAATCAACATCTACGTCCACATTAGCTGCACTGCAGACTACCTCTACAGCCACATTATCTGCTCCGCGGATATAGCGTTATGCCAATACGATACATTACATGTACTTACTTACTTGCCTTTACTGTACCAACTCTTGTTCTTTCCACGTAATCATGTTTTTACAGTTATCGTTTGCTGTATATCTTCCAGCAAACTTTATTTCGTGTGAAGTGTATTTAATTAATTAAATCTCTGCGAAAGATTGAGAAGATGAAGGGATAATTCAAACTATGAAGACATGGTTACATGGAAAAGACAAGAGTTGATACAATAATAAAGACATACATGTATTTGTATCCTGCTGGCATAAGGTTATAGAAGTTGATTGAGATTGAAAAATAATAATGAAAATAATAAAAAAAATAAAGACACATGTATTTGTATCGTGCTGGCATAAAGTTATAAAAGTTGATTGAGATTGAAAAATAATAATAAAAATAATTAAAAAAAGGAAATATTCAATCATCATTTAAAAGCATATTTGAAATCTGTAGAATAAACAGTTTTTGCAAAAAATGTGGAGCATTTGAGCTCTAGTAAGTCTAAAAATAAATGTAAACATCAATTAATAATAACTGATGTTATATATATATTATATATATAAACCAATTTGTTGCAATATTCACTATAAAAGGTTGTAAGGGTAAGATGGCTAAAAGTGAATAATTTAAAAGATAGTTAACATAATTTTACATAAACTGAAATATTTCATAAAATAAAATATTTGTAATATTTCGAAGTTTATGTAAGATTATGTAAAAATTATACCTTTACAACTTTTTATAGTAAATATTGCGAGGAATCGATTTATATGAGAAAAATTAAGGTAATTCTATTTTGAAAATATAAGTGACCTTTAAATAACCTTGAAAATCGCCGTTTAGGAAAAAGTCTGTGTCAACTTTTTCTTTTTCGAAATCCTGCAACTTTTATCTAAATTTAATAGAAAATGTATAAAAAATGCTCGACATTAGTACACACACACACACACACACACACATATGGGTAAATTTATATAAATAGGGTGCTTTAGGAGGAATGATCAGGATTCTAGGATATGATTGTACACATCATTTTAAGCAAAGAAGTTTAGATAAACATGTTTAATAATTGTTCTATTCCGGTCATAAAAATATACAAAAATGAATGATATAATCTCTAAAAACTCACCTTTAAAAAAAGGTAAAAAAAGGCGACCAGTTAAGGGCACGCCATTAACAAAAATTATCCATTGCAAACCCATGTAGAATCCTATCCTATTGCAAACCCATGTAGAATCCTATGAAAAATTAATCATTGCAAACCCATGTAGAATCCTAGGCAAAATTAACCATTGCAAACCCATGTAGAATCGTACCCATTGCAAACCTATGTAGAATCCTATGAAAAATTAACCATTGCAAACTCATGTAGAATCCTATGAAAAATTAACCATTGCAAACCCATGTAGAATTGTATTAAAAATTATCCATTGCAAACTTATGTAGAATCCTACATTGCAAACCCATGTACAATAGAATTGTATGAAAAATTATCGATTATAAACCCATGTACAATCGTAACAAAAGTAATGAAATAAAAAAAAATTGCGCCAAGTGAAAGTAGAAACTTGTACCAGTGGAAAATTAAAGTTGCAGACATATATAGAGTCGTATAATGAATCAGTAAAAATTTAAATTTGCAAATGTAGAATCGTACCATAAAAAAACTTATCTTTTAAAAAAAAAGATAAACAAGATGCCAAGTCCATGCGCCATGTGAAAAAGAAATAAAAAAATTTTAGTTAAAAAAACTGGGAGCGCTGCTAAATAATATTCTAACAATATTAAAATTAAATTGTTACTTTTAAACTCATTACAGTTAAAATATGTTTTGTGTTTAAATTAATTAATGTTACTTTAAGGTGCATTGTAATTTTGAAACTTAGCAGCGCGCCCAGTTTTTTTAACTAAAATTTTTTTATTTCTTTTTCACATGGCGCATGGACTTGGCATCTTGTTTATCTTTTTTTTAAAAGATAAGTTTTTTTATGGTACGATTCTACATTTGCAAATTTAAATTTTTACTGATTCATTATACGACTCTATATATGTCTGCAACTTTAATTTTCCACTGGTACAAGTTTCTACTTTCACTTGGCGCAATTTTTTTTTATTTCATTACTTTTGTTACGATTGTACATGGGTTTATAATCGATAATTTTTCATACAATTCTATTGTACATGGGTTTGCAATGTAGGATTCTACATAAGTTTGCAATGGATAATTTTTAATACAATTCTACATGGGTTTGCAATGGTTAATTTTTCATAGGATTCTACATAGGTTTGCAATGGGTACGATTCTACATGGGTTTGCAATGGTTAATTTTGCCTAGGATTCTACATGGGTTTGCAATGATTAATTTTTCATAGGATTCTACATGGGTTTGCAATAGGATAGGATTCTACATGGGTTTGCAATGGATAATTTTTGTTAATGGCGTGCCCTTAACTGGTCGCCTTTTTTTACCTTTTTTTAAAGGTGAGTTTTTAGAGATAAATTATTTACCACGTTCTATCTTTCAAGTGCACAGAAAAAAGTTGTAATTTTTGCTAGTTTTAATTACATTTGCTGCGCATGCCGTGACAATTTCTTATACCTGTATCTTAGTGAAAACCAGCAATAAGACTATAAATTTGGGGTCAAATTTAATAATAAAGAACAGACCGTCCGTAGTGTGGAAACGTCTCTCGTGTACATCAAACACACATCTGTGCTCTTTGTAATCGGCAGACTCATTTCGTGTACTGCAAAAAGCAAGGAATAATTACGCGAATAGTATATTGCAATCACTTTAATTTATATTCCTTTCTTGTGTTTCGTTTTTCATAATGTCTGATTGTAAGATAACGAGCTTACCAGAAGAGATCATAGCCATCATTCTCGGCTATAATGTTATCACTATTGAAGATATCATTAACTTTCGATGCGTGTGCAAGAAATTTTCGTTATGCAGCAACCACATATAACAAGTTCTTGGAAAAAAAGTTATTTCTGTATATTCATTGCAGCGCATGATCTCGGCGCAACATTGTTTAAATTTTTAAAGCAAAATAAAGTAGAATTAAAAATTTAATATTTTTTGATATATTTTATAAGAAAATTCAACTCAAAGTTTTCTTACTTTTGATTTTATAATTCAATGCGATATTATTAAGAGACTGCCGTTTTTTTTTTAATTTAACAAGTATTAAGTTAATAATTTTGCGTCATCTTTTTGTATTCTATCAAATTAGCAATAATTATTTATATATAATCGTTATAATTTTAGTAGAATTATATATCAATTCTCACTCCGTCACAGCCTATTGTAGCAATTTTGTAACTGCATTTTCTATACGAGAAAAGATTTGTAATACGTGTGATTTCTTCCTTAGTAATTTTTGGTGGCAACGGAAAGTATACATAACTACCTTTAAAACCTGTAAGTTTTCCTGCCAAATTAAATCCACTTCCAAGGCAGGAAACAATATCAAATTCAAAATACGACAAATCATATTTGCTCAACATTTGTTGATTTTTCTTAATGTCTCTCTGTAAAACACGAAAAATTTTAGGTATAAAATTGTACCTACAGTTTCTGGCGAAACATTGTAATAAAGAATTTTTCACGCCGCAAAACTAATAAGGAATACAGCATAAAATAAAATAATTTCGTTGTTAAATAAAAAAATATAAAAATACCTGTAAGTCATTGTAAGCATCAGAATTTTCTATGTTATTATTAATATAATTTAGGTCATCAAATATATTTATTGCTATTTCGTCCAATTCATTAAAAATAGAATTAAAATTGCTACGTGACAACATCAGATCTGCTATTTGCTTATATCTTTGTGCTTCCGTTAGGCAAAGATGTGTCCCGATCAATAGAATCTTTATTCCTGTTTTAACAACATCTATACACTTCATATCATAAACATTAGAATGAATATGTTTGCATTTATTTATACGGCCATATACGCAAACTTTGGCATCGATCGTTGCTAATGCATCCTTTTGCAAAATGCCCTCACAAGATCTAGTGTATTCTTCAATCTTCTCTAAGTCTTGTTCATTAAATCTAATATGAACACCACTCTGTAGACGCTTCCAATGAAGAAAACACGCTGCCAGACAAACCACGAATGATGTCGAACCGCCAAGACCATTTTCAAAAGGAATTTCAGTGGACACGTGTAATCGAAAAGGTTTTATGACAAGATGCTCTTTGTAAGTAACAGTACAAAGTAAGAAAAAGAGCATTAGTAAGCTAATTTTCTGCTCGGTTTTCTCCCACATATTGTTTACGTTGATAAAGGAATTCACTTCTTTAAGCAAATTGACTTGATCGGAAAACAAGTTTTCGCGTATAAGTCGAGAAGATAAGCATTGAACTTCTTGTAAAGGTACATCCTTCTCATAATCCTGAAACTCTACTCTAATGTTAGTTTGCTCATCTGATAGTTCGCAGAATTCTAGATTGGTGCGAAGATCTAAGCCGGCCACAACAAAATGATTTCCAAACGTCACCGTGTGGTCCCCTGATAAAATGATTCTGCCTGGTGCGGAAATTTTGAACTTAATCATCTTTTTATTTATCTTTATAAAAATATCTTTTCTTGACACAACAAATGCAACGTTGAATGGCAAAGAGTTAAATTTACGTAGCTCTTACAAATATATTTATTGGAATTAATATATAAAAAATATATTCTCACATAAAATGAGAGAAATTTGGAGATTATATTCATCGTTTCTTCTCGATCTGTAAGTGTAAGAAATGCGTATCGTGTCAGTCATATGTGAAAGAAATATCTCATTTGTTATACATAAAAATATGCAAAGTATAATCAAAGGATATGTTTGCGAAGTACTTAAATTAATATACTTACATTTTATTTGATTCTTGTTTTTATTTGGCAGAATAATTAATGTCTATTTTTCTCCGAGAACCGCACATATGTCTTCTTAATTATTTAATCTTTAAAACGTCAAATAAGCAAAAAAGAAAGTTACTGATTATATAAATTTGAAACGTTCGTTATCGCCCTCCAGACAGTAGTGGTTATAATTACTGTATACTTCCTTGTCTCAATTTAGACTGATTTTATTTCGAAACATATAAAAATGTTATTACAAAGTCATGTCTTTAAATACAAACAACAATATCAGACACTTTTAATGTTTTAATCAGAATTTGTTACTTCCAATTTAAGAATTACATATTATTTTCAATATCATAATTCAACAACTAAGATTAATCATAAATCAATATTTTATTATCTTTCCCAGTAATGTTTACTTTAAAAACTTACCTTTTCAAAAACTGTAAAAAAACGTCAAGCTATGCGCGTTGGTGAAAAAGTTACTAGTGAAAAATTACCCATTGCAAACCCATGTAAAATGGTATAATTATAAATCTACAGGGGTAAAGGTGTTTTCACTTTAATCTTGTAAAATTAAGAGTTTTTTCTTTTAATAACAATTTATATAAAATTTTCAAAAAACAAAGGAAAAATCAATTTTTTCTCAAATTTAGACATCTTCGATTTTCTTCAAAAAATCTTTAAAAAAAGTAGAAATCTTCTCCTTTAACGCTTCCAAGGCCAAGATGTGCAGGCTTTTAGTTTTCAAGATATAGTTAAATTAAATATAAATTGTTATTGAAAGAAAAAACTAATTTTACAAGATTAAATTAAAAAGACCTTTCGAAATCACATCTTATTTTTTAAAATCGAAGTAGTCTTCTGAAATTTATTAACGTTTAAAGTTGGACGTAACGGCCAAAATAATAAAAATTCAAGTCCCTGTTAACACAGAGCCTGTATGATGTGGGCCAAACAACTTGAATAATTTTACTTTTGATAGAACTACACTTTCTGCAAATTTCAGCGAGATTGGAAAACTTTGAAAATTTGGGTGGATCACTTTATAAATAGTGCACTATACATATATTTTCGACTTTTATAGATAAATACTATGCCCTATTTTTGTATGCAATGTCAATTGAGAATCAACGCGATGAATAAAGTATATTTATTATTCTCTCTGCTATATTTAGTGTATTAATTAATATAAACAATATAGTATGAAAAATTGTGATTCCAACAATTTGAATTAGTGCAGTAGAATTTATAAATTTTAAAATTTAGAAAAATTAATTTATTTATAAACTTTTTTTTTAATATTTTAAGTACATGCAAAATATGACGTAATATAAATTTGCCGTCTATTAATATCTATTATTTTGAAACTTATAATCGATAGTGTGTTGCATTTGCATAAGTATAAACAGGTATGTTAATAAAAAGCAATGATTTTTATATTTTGAAATATACATAATTCTTTTGTGTTGAAGGAGACAATAAAAGCTTATATTAATGATATTAGATTTTGTATGATGTTAGTATAATTACAGATTTTGCAAATTTATGCAAAATTTAAGCAAGACTTTAAAATTTTACTAATTCCTACAACTAATATATAATCTTTCTTTTATGCAGAGGATCTTTTCAATGGTGGCATTAATTTAGAAAGTATAACAAACAACGTGTAACATGCGATATCTGTGATAAAAATTTCATCCTATCATCTATTGAAACACACATCTATGAAATATCATATAAGAATAAAGCATAAAGAATTTTATACATAATGTTTCAAGTGTGTGGCCTTCTTATTCTATATCAGGAAATATATTAAAATCAGATGATTGTACAAAGACTAATACCAAAATTTTTTATATATCTAAAAATATAAAAAAAATACATAATTGAAACACACATGCTTAGAACAGCAAATATACTCCACACTTAGATATAGAACATATTTATAATAAGGTCATTCTGAAACGCAAGATTTGCGACAAGTTTAACAAGATAAATAATTATTTTAAATTATTGTATAATGATACATTTATTTCAATTTCATAAAATATCTTTGCACCTCCCTAAATGCTACCAAAGAGGTAAGTGACACACTGATAAATTGATTATTATTATTTAGTTTTCTTTTAAAGATTAATATAAACTTTTTAAATATATGAACAGAGTTATGCTAAATGAATAATCAATTCAGTCTCGAAATAAACAAGGCTATGCGAGCCGAATGCAAATGTTTGTGCGTTAGATAGCAAAAAGTAATTTTTTGCTATGACTTGTAATTGTGCACGAGGCACGAAATTTGCTTAGCATAGTGCTAAGACCATTTAAAAATAAATCTCAATCTGGTTCTTTTCAAAACTCAATTTTAATTCCTAATTTCCCGATTTGGCAACTTTTGGACCGATATATTTTTCTGTTCTACATCTCTTTAAAATGATCAAAAGAGAACATAGAAATTAAAATATCGAATTAAAATTTATTCCTAAATAGTCTTAGCAATGTGCTAGGAAAACTACGTGCCTCGTACACGTGCTATTAATAGACGTAATAAAAAAAATTAATTTTCAATATTCAACGCACAAACATCCGCGTTGAGTTCGCGTAATCTGTTCATTTTGAGTTTGTAATTAATCGATGGAATTTTTATATTCTTATAAAGTTTAGATTTCTAGAATATATTCACCCCGTATATATGCGCAAATAAAACTACATAAAATTGTAGAATAGTCTTATATAAACTATGTACATACATCAATTATTATATATTTGTATCGTAAGTCGAGGATTTTATTTTAGCTGAGAATTTTATCTGTAAAAATTTGAAAAATGAAAAATGTAAATCTCTCTCTTTCCCTTTTTTTCTTATCAAGAAAATTTGACAATGCACAGCAGCTGAAGTTTTAAACTGTAAAACATAAATACATGAATATTATTGGTAAAATTTAATAAAATAATTGATAACTTAAAATAAAATTAGTTTAATTAAGCTTAAATAATACATAATATAAATACATAGAAATTAGTAAAATTTAAAATAACTGATAAATTTGAAAAAATATATAATTTTAATTAAGCTTATATGTATAGAGAACAATAAATAAATAAATAATGATAATAAAATAAATAATAAATAAATTATTTACCACGTTCTATCTTTCAAGCGCATAGGAAGAAACGGTTAATTTGCTAGTTCTAAATTACATTTTCTGCGCATGCCGTAGCAAGTCCTTATACCTGTATCTTAGTGAAAACAAGCAATAATGCTTTAAAATTTGAGGTCAAATTTTATAATAAAGAACAGAACGTCTACAGTGTGAAAAACGTCTCTCGTGTACATCAAACACACATCTGTGCTCTTCGTATTCGGCAGACGCATTTCTTGTACTGCGAAAAGCAAGGAATTACGCGAATAGTTTATTGCAATCACTTTAATTTACATTCCTTTTTGTTTTGTTTCTCATAATGTCTGATTATAAGATAACGTGCTTACCAGAGGAGATGATAAGTCACATTCTCGACGATAATGTACTCACTATTGAAGATATCATCAACTTTCGATGCGTGTGCAAGCAATTTCGTTATGCAGCCACATATGACAAGTTCTTGGAAAAAAAGTTATCTCAAAGGTAATTCTTGTGGTTTGTAAATCTTTTTGTTATTTTGTCTCATTAACGCCTGTCGCACAATGTATATCACTTCTGCGAAGAACGTATATTATAAATATATAATAAATACAAAATATTAGAAAAATTAGGTATGTTGCATATTAAATTATTCGCTTTCATTTTTTCTATTGCTCAATAATTTTGGCAAACTCTACCGTTATATATATATACATATATATATAAATATATATATATATATATATATATATATAAAATGTAAACATAATTCCCGATTCAGCGACTTTCGGATCTATATTTTTCTCTTGCATTTACTTATTTCCGTAGGGGGGTGAAAGAGTTATTGAAATTAAATCTCAAATATGAGATTATTTCATATTTTAAATCTTGGCCGTGACCAAGTAAAATATTTGGTGCCTTGTGCATAGATACTTAATCCTAACGAAAATTTAGTTTCGTTAGGATAACGCACTGTCATCCGCGAGTTGGCTCTTACTGCCTGTCTTATATCTTTAAATTTATATTTATATTACAGAGCCTTGTTAAACTCTTAATTTAAAATGTAAACGTTAAATATAATATACTGATAAGATATCTTAATTTTCGGCTGTCAAAAATAAAAGACCAAATATTTTTCAACCGACATTCGTCAATTGATGTTTATATAATTAATCACACAATGTTTCAACCACGGTGTTTCGACCATATAATTTTGGTCTTTCGCACACTTAACAGTAACACTTAATAAGGCCAAAAATTATATAAAATGTTATGTGATTAATTAAATAAATATTAATTAGCCTATATATATATTGGTCGAAAAATATTCAATCATTCAATAATTTTTTTAAGATTTAATTATTAAAAATACAACATAAAAGTAACTTGGTTTATTTATTATAATGTGTATTCTTCAATACATTTAATTGCATTTTTTAATATTAAAAATATATATATGATATATATTTGTGATAGAAACAGATTTGATATTTTTCTATCGGTTCTTTTTTATAAATAACATTGAAATCACAATAAAATCGTTATAAAAGTAAAAAAGAAACGTACATTTCTCAATCCTTAAATTATAATTAGATTCTTGTTTACATTTAATCTTTTTCATGTTTAATTAACTCTTTCAGATGTTGATCATGATAAAAGATTTTGTTGGAATGATTATAAAAAGACATACAATAATCAATTTGGGATTAGTCGAAGTGATTTGTAATGTGTAAAAAACATAACACTAATCGCTAGTTAGTATATCAAGAGACACGGTAGTGTCTCGCGACCAGTTAAGGGCGTAGCGGAGACACCGTGTATCTTAACGCGAGTCGGACATTTGAGTCTTTATAATATTTCGAATCCTCAATAATGGCTGAAGCAATCGAGTTTATACTAGACTTAATCGATAGATTGAGTTCGAATTATATAATAAAAGTGTCTTTATTTCTGCTCTACGTGATTTGTAAGCAGAGATATATAAATGCAAAGTCGAAATATGAAAAATTTCTATTAAGAAACGTCCCCGTCATCATTATTATTATCATCATCGACCACGCATACATAGTAGTATCGTGCTACACGTATTCACACGTATACAACACATGCGCACACATATATCACACGTACACAACACATGCAAGATGCATGTAGTGGTAATTTTGTCCATCTCGCACGTTTTACAACAGATGGCGATAGTGGCGCTCCGCCATATCGGCAGCGTGCGGGGTTATGTTGGCTAACTCTCTCTCTCTCTCTCTCTCTCTCTCTCTCTCTCTCTCTCTCTCTCTCTCTCTCTCTCTCACACACACACGCACACACACACTCTCTCATTCTCACTCACTCACTCACTGTTCGTCTTGTGTACTTATTTAGTACATTCATGATTAAACATCTATATGCATTAATGTGAAATTTACTTACAATTAGTTTACTTGAAATATTCAATCTCTAAAGTGT